TTTCCTTTCTTGACATTTACCATTAGAGAAGTCATGAGGATTTCTCTAAAATTGTCCTCAGGGAGTTTTTAAAAACAAATGTGTTTTTGAAGGTGTTACTGAACTGCATCTACAGGAACCATGTGTGTGCTCAGTCTGCAATCCAGAGCTTTGTGGTTTAGATGCGTTGCTACTTCTGATTGTTTTTGATCACGTGCCCTTCTTTAACTTCAACAAAATGTTGGTTGGTTTCGATGAGAGTATTTTCTCATGGGAATTCCGGTCTTAAGACTATGTTTATTGTCCTCAAATGATCTTCTGCTAGGGTGTATCTTCTGGGGTGAATCTATGTGCTGGAGGAAGTGGTTACAAAAGTCTAAATATTATGGGCATCTGAGAGAGAGAAATAGCCAGTGACTTTTTGCTGAGGTCGTCACTAGACAGGTTAGCCTCTTATAACAGTTGTGACTTTTCTTTTTAAGAGATTGCTTTTTTACCTACCTTTGCACTTGTCTCAGTGGGTTCTGTTTCAGTTAATAATCTGAGGTCAGCTTTCTGATTCTTTTTTTCTCTGCCACAACAAAAAATGATGGCAAGATAGTTTCTTCCAAATGCTGAGTGGACTTAGGGAAATTTGTTAGGAGCCAAATCTGTTCTTATAGCATTAACTGATCCTGTGCCTAGTTTGTATGTTACTGAGCACTGCTGTGTGCACAGCACAGGTGGATACTTGGGGGACACAGAAGTAAAGGCGGAAGGAAGGGCTTTGCCCTCAAGAAACTCATGTTTCAAAAGGAACTTAAGTTGTAACTGAGTGGCCCTGTGAGAAAGTCCGATGGAGGAAGTGCTGGAATGTACTCCAAAGGGCACAGAGAGAGAAGCATATCCATGCAAAGGTTCAAAGGGTAAAATGTTATTTGACTATAACCTTAATCCTCATTATAAGCCACTACAAGTGCATAGAATTTCTTCATTAAGATGAAGGCAGTAAGAAATTAGAGGACTGCCACAGAGTCCTTCTAACTCTATAAATTTATATAATAAAATTGGATAAATACATTAATGTAACTGCCAAATGTTCCCCAATAAGAGCCATCATATCTTTAACAATATCTCAAGCTTGTTATGTTTATTTCAGACACTGAGTGAGCTCATGGAAATTTGTTGGGAGCCAAATTTGTTATCCTGCATTCTAAAGGGAAAAGAAAGATTGCACGTCTGCAATGTTGACTTGCGCCACTTTTATTTCAATGAACATAAATATGTGGAAATATAAAATATGCATAACTTTTTACCCTTACGATTTTTTAAACTGTAAAACCAAAAGACATATACATTAAGTAAAAACTTTAAAAATCAATAACATTTGAATGAATGAGAGATTTTGTTTCTCAAAGGCCGAATCACCAATGTTGAGACCATTGTCAGTGGAAAGATACATTTGTGCTTTTCGATTCAGTTGTGCTTGACATGATTGTTTTGATTTTGCATCTGCAGCATTGTCGTGGTCATCGTTTTCCCTTCTTAACAAATAGCTTGTTTGTGTCTGCCAATTCACTGTTTTGATGATCCCATTCACTCAATAGTGCACCTCTAAATTCGATGCTGAAGAGAACATATGTCATTAAATGTACCCTGTAATGATTCTACACCCACTTTTCTATTTGTAAACTATTGTAAAAACCTTTGTTCTTAGAAAGAATCATGACATCTTTTATGCTTTATTTAGTATAAATGTTTCATTTACTTTTCAAGCCCATTTATTTTGTTTTCTCTTTAGCCTATGGCAACTTAGAGATACATGACTTAGCTCACTTCATTGTCATTATGCAAATTAATACTACAAAAGAAAAGTTTTGTGTTTTTAATTGGTAAAGAATTGTGCGTGAGTGACAGACAAGGATTGTTGTTGTCAGATGTAACATTAAGGCCCTGCCAGAGACCCAAGGGCCTGGCACTGAGGCTTTGAAGTTTATCTCTGATCACTTGGCACCGACTGTCTTGTAAATGCAAGCATGGGAGCCAAAGTCATGTGGCAATATTCAGTCATAAATGTTATCTAGATTATCTAAAATATGCTTACCTCACTATTAGCAATTTTGATTATCAAAGTGAAAACAAAATTTTTTAATTCTCCCAGAGCTTGCGATTTTGTGTGTAGATTTCTGGTAGACAAGGACGAGTTTGAGAAATACTGGTCTATAGAATATTGGTCAAATAACTGATTACAAAAAGATGGTTCCCCCTTTTTTTTTTCCATTTCTCAGAAAAGATTGGCGACATTTCTGAGTATATCTGCTAACTTCTGTCTCGTCTCGGCCTTGATCTGTTCTGACTAATGCCTTCTTTGTTTCTGCATTAAAAGACTTTCGGAAGGAGTTTGTAGAATAGGAATGGGCATAGGCCTAAACAGAGTTCAGTTAAGTGCAAGTAACTATTTAAATATTTTCATGTAATACTAGGATTGCCCGTTGACTTTCTCTCTTCCACTGTGCCATGAGTTCTTTGAGAAAGGGACTGTGTCTTACCATGCATTGGATTCCTAGTATGTGAAACCATGCCTTGCACATAGTAGGCACTCAGAAAATATTTGCTGAAAGGATGAATAAATATTAGTATGAGAAACTTGTTAGTGGTATGATGTACATCAGATGACATGCTCCAGTGTCGTCTTCCTGTAAGCATATGACCCATACCTTGTCATTGTGATGAATTAGCTGGCCTGGTAGAAAACTAGCCTCAGCCTGCCTCTGGTATGTTGTTGCCTAAAGAATCAGACCAGCTATCTTCACTGCTCAAGAGTTAATATCTGGAAAGTGATGAAGAATTTCCCAATTGGCATATTTCTTTCGGTGTCTTTGGCTTTTCTTTTCCTCTCCCTGTCATCCTGTGACTCAGGAACTAGGATCTTTTCACAGGAAACTTACAAGCCTCAGCTCAGAACGTGATACCCTTGTCATTATTACTCACCGCTCTGTGTCACTCCGTCAGAGAAAAGGAGGGGAGTGCTCAGCCTGTTTGCTTTCTGATTTTTATCTGTTTGCCTGGTTCATTGTGACAATAGACTAAGGAGATAAACTGTGTATTTGTTGAAGATAGATTTTGATTCTTCAAGATCGAAGTATGTTGTTGCTTTCCCTTAAAGAGTGCTTCTTTGTTTAAGTTATTGTTTATTTTTTTTCCAAGATAACTTTTCCTTCAGTTAGCTTTTTTAAACCAACTTTTATATTTCTTACCCAAAAAAATCATCCACCCGATAATGGGCCTTGGTTTTCATCATGTGCTTCAGACACGTGATTTTAACACTTGGAGGACAAGTTCTGATTGGTTCGAGACTTCAAACTGAAATAGCTTTAAGCAGAGAGGCTGGCCTTTCTTTACATACATGCCTCCCAGTCATTATATACACACACACACACACATATACACACACACACATACATATATATACGTGTGTGTGTGTGTGTGTGTGTGTGTGGCTACTGGCAGTGACGGACGGAAAAAATACTGGCAATACCAAAGATTAGTTGCTTCATATGTTAACATATCATGTAATATGGATCTAGCCAGAAGAAGCTGAGAACTGAACTGTTTATCGCTTCTAGCAAGCTATGTGGTTGAGAGAAAAACAAGTGACTTTTCTGTGCATTAGGGAATTTTTCATCTCAACAATCAAACCTTGCCTTCCACCTCATTGCCTTCAAGGCTCTAGGCAATTAAGAAGAGAATTTGGAACTTGGAAATATAAAGTGCAGTGGAATTTTATGAAAATAGTAAACCGGAAAACACAATGCTCTGTAGATAACTAAATCTAAATAAATATTTACATCTCAATAAATACTTGCTGTGTTACAGTATACAGGAATCCTAATACATTGTCAGTGGCACTTAAAGTGAGATTGCCTACTTATGTTAGCCCCTATGTTTCTATCTCATGTAATGCTTTCAGTATCATAGTTTAAGTTCTTTTTTTGTTTTTGTTTTTCTTTTTTGTTTTTTATTGATTTTGGAGTAAGGGAGAGAGAGAAAGATAGAAACATCAATGATGAGGGAGAATTATCAATCAGCTGCCTCCTGCACCCCTCCCCTCCCACTGGGGATCAAGCCTTCAACCCCGGCATGTGGGAATCAAACCGTGACCTCCAGGTTCATGGGTCGATGCTCAACCCCTGAGCCACACCGGCCAGGCACATAGTTTATGTTCTTATTTTTTCCCCCTCATCTCATAAAAAATAACATGGCATGATTTGAAATATCATGGTGTAAATCAGGGGAAGCAACTAGGAAATATTTTATTAAAGTTATATTCATATAAAGAATTGAAAATAGTAACATGACTCATCAAACATAAAAACTGGTGTTATCACATATATTTGTAATAAAATAATGGTAGAAATAGCACACATTGTTGTGTTTGATATGTGTTTGTATAAGTGTATATACATTTACACTGGTAGGCACACAATCTGTTTCTCCAGCTGTAGTAACTGAAAGTGTTTCAGTTATTTGAAAGAGCGGTATGCTCTTCTATTGAGTATTTAGTGCATAGATGCTACGTGCTTCCAAGTAAGAACGTGCTCATCACACATCATTTAAAGGCATTTCTTCAGGAAAATAAGTGATTATCCCTATGCACTTACTTTTTGGAATAACAGGACTCAGCCTGAATGATCTATAGATTGCTGCTTAGATTCAAGCCCACAACTTAAAGCAGAGACTGAGTTTTATTGGTTGGATGATATTACTACCTGTAGTAGGACTTGGGCAGCAGAGTAGGAGGCAATAAAGGAATCTTTTCCCAGCATTAGGACTGAGGAATGTTGACCCTCATGAGGTTGTCCTTGAAGGCAAGGACCATGTCTGCCTTGGATGTGTATTCCTAGGGTATCACACAGTAGCTTGCACATAATAGGTACCCCCAACATGCTGTGATCATTATTTTAAAAATTGGTGGCTAGAGCACTGGATTATGTCCCAAAATTCTACTACATATATTGTGAACTGTTTCTTTGCTTGAATAGGGAGAAGATCCAATTTATTCGAACTGAAGGGACCCCAGGATTGGTGCGTCTTTCAAGTGATGCAGACCTTGTGATGTTGCTGAGGTACGTAACACTGGGTCTTGAACTAGAAAGTGTCTTGTTATCAGATATTATGGAGCATTTTAGAAAATAATATGACAGTACTGGTAGCCTAAAAAGACCTCCTTTATTCTTGAAGACTTGTGGAATACTCATGTTGAAGATGTGGATGCTGGTGCAGCCAGCATTCATTTCAGATTGCATTTTTTATCACTGAGAGTTTGATTTTGTTTTTACCCTGCTGATAAAGGAGGTGGTATTAGAGAAGGGAAGGGTTTGTAGAGGCTGGTGAATGGAATGTTCCATGCACAGAATGAAGAGAGGGGTATACACAGCTTACCCCTTCAGAGTAGAAGAGGTCATGTTTATATTTTCTTTCAGAATTTTGCTCAAAATGTGCTTTGTCCCCTTTTGCTGATTCAGCGCTATTTATTTACTTTATGGTTTTGAGAGTTTAGGTTTGGGAAATCAGATCAAGTTGAAATTTGGTCACTGGTACTCACTGCCAACTTGATAGCCCTTCATAAAACTGACCAATTGTATTTTCTTTGTTAATGGTTAGATCAGCTTTGGTTTTAAATTTTAGAGTAATTTCAAGGAAAAACAGCACGTTTTCAAAAACCTTTTTTATTTTTAATATTATCCTTCAAATGTAGGAGGCCATAGTAAAATAATGCTTGCTCTGCCCTGTGGTTGGGACACCACACCACTGTGACCTCCATAGAATTAAAGGGAAAGTCATGCTGAGCCGTATCAGGCAATGTTTTATTTATCCCAAAGTGCTAACAATCTCATTCATGTTATTCATAATGATCTTGAGCCTAACCATTTCTCACCACCTACCTGATATTTGCCATATTTTAAAAACTAAAGCCAAAATGTTACTTTCTTTTGCTGGATATTTAGAGCATAATTCAAAGGGATATATTCACTTTCCCCAAAAACTTCATTTCGCCTGATTCTGAGTAAGACCTATGGGGGGGGGGGTTACTTATTTGTCAAGAGGGTGACCCTTGACTTTGGTATACTGAGCTAGTTCTGAAAACAGGGTAGACGATGCTAGATGGGCAGGAAGACTATTGGTCAGTTAATATGCAGTATGATGTTTCTACCATGGTTTTGTTGGTAATAAAATAGTAAGTTTTGTTATTATTAAAATTGTTAAAATTCTGGCTAAGATATGACTCTTCCACTTCATTCTAGAAATCAAGGCTTTTTCATTTAAACTAAAGAGTTCTGCTTTCGATATTAGTAAAAATAAAAATAATTACAAAATGGAAATCATGATTATAATTCACATGTCCTTAGTTAAATAATCTTTAGATGGTATGGTCCTAAATATTTTAAGTTACAATATAGCGTATAATATTTGTACTTCAGTGAAAACCACAGTTTGCGTGAGTTTCTATGTGTTATGTGGTAGAATATTTAAATATTTGAAAACTGATATAAGTATATATATAAATATAAAGAACAAGACTACATTTTATCTCATTTGGAGAAATAAGCATGTTCTCTGAAGTTAATGGGCCTTTGATAAAGCATAAGAAATTCATTTATATATAATAGTTCTATAATTATTGCAATAGAAATTATATTCAGTTCTAGACTTCATTTGGATGATCAGATGTATTTATTATTTTAATAATTGTACACAATGTATTCCATGTTCATGCTTAATAAATATTTAATGATTATTGAAACTTCTAGGGATATCCTCAGTTCTTTACTTTTTATTTTACTTTGGAGTTTGAGTCATTTGAATCAGTGACTGTAAACTCAAGCCATGGATTTGTTGCAAACATAGAGGAAGACTTTGTGCCTGTTTTTATATTTTGTCTATTTCTTAAGAAGGAAAATCACTCCTGGTACAAATGGACTTGATTATCAGCAAGCTGCAATGTAGAGATGATCCAGCTCTAGGAAATGATTCAATTCAAAATAAATCTGTGCAAGGGTATTTTCCAGTATAGATATTATAAAACTCAAGAATTTTTAAATAACCTTGCTGCATTTGTTACTGATTATGCTATTTCATATATTCTTTAACTTAACTCATACAAAGAAATGTACCTCTCTTAGAGTTAATATAGGAAATGATTGATAAGTGTGGCTACATTTGAATTTTAAAATTTATGTAATGAAAGACACCACATATAAAGACATAAAGAAAGGTAACAAGCTGGAAGAATATACCCACAACACATAGAAATGATATCATAAGTATATAAAGGATGCCTTTAAATCAATTTAAAAGAAGAAAGCCCAAAAGAAAAATGAGTAAAGGATATAAAAAGGCATTTCATAGAAATGGAAGCAAGAACAGCCAGTCAACTTATGGAAAGATGCTAACAGTCATAAAATGCAATGTCAAATAATGAGATACTATTTCATACCATTAGATTTGAAAAAAATCAAAAGCCTGATACCAAATGATAAACAGCAACTCTCATATTGCCTGGACTTGGTAGGATTGCCATTTCTAGAACCTCTCCAGAATACAATTTGACAATATTTTATATAGTTGAAAAGGCATCTGCATGATGACTGAGCAATTTTAATTTTAGATATATTACCATATTTACACTAAGGAACTCTTTTACATATTTACAAGATGATATATGCAGGATGTTCGTTGCACCATTATTGATAAAAGCACAAAGTTGGGGGAGAAGTAAATATTTCTCAGAGGACATAGTGATAAACAAACTGATTTGTTCATAGAATGACCTACTGCATAGCAGGTAAAAATAATAAGCTATATCCTTATATATCAACATAGACAGATATCAGAATTATATTGTTGAACAAAATGTTCAAGAATGCTATTACGTATAGCTATTGTAGTTTTTAGCAGTGCATTAGGCAAAACTATATATTGTTTATCTATATATATGTTGTAAAATACAAAATGATGGAAGGACACCTATTAAAGTCATGAGAGAGGAGAGCAAAAGGCACTTCATATACACACTTGCACAGATGCAGATATATACACTTTGTGTATATATATACAGATCTATAAGTGTGCGTGTGTGTTTGTCTGAAGTAAAAATAATGTTAACACTTATTAATACTGGGACACAGGTGTAGACATCTGAGGAGTGGGTGCTCATTCCTACTCTACATTAATTTAGCTAGATTTTTGTGGTAGCAACTGCTACATGGGACTTTTCACTAGCAATTAATTTTAAATTCAAATTATTCTAATGGCTATTGATTTGTTGAAACAGAGAAATGACTGTTTCGGGGCTTAATTTGGTATTAAAATGTGATACTTACTGCTTCTGTTTCCAAATCTTCTGACTTCTGTAGTTTAAAAGTAGAAAGATGGCTTTTTACAATATCATGTCTAAAAATGCTTTTGCTACAGTAGTTGGTCTTGCAGACATGTGCATGTGAATGAAGAACGAGAGACTTATCAAGTTGTTATTGCATCGCTATAACCCATGGCTTCTCAGCCTCAGAAGCATTGACTCTCTGGGCTGGATATGTCTTTGTTGCAGGGAACTAATTCTGTGCATTGTAAGATGTTCGTCAGCATCCTGGCCTCTACCCGCGGGATACCAAAAGCCCCTGCTCCCAGTTATGACAACCAAAAATGTCCAACATTACCAAACACCCCCAGACAGTGTGGGAGACCAGAATTGCCTTGGTTGAGAGCCAGTGCTGTAGCCCTTGAGAGTCCTTTCCTTAAATCTCTACAAGATTAAACTATTGCCACTTTTTCTGAATATCTTCTGAAAACAAGTAACAGGTTTCTAGATTTGGCGAAGTTTAAAGAAAACCTACTTCCACCTCTTTTTTTTTT